ACCAAATTGAAAGTTAATGATAAAAATATCACTTTAAATGATTGTCAATCATCTGAAAAATCAGATAATATGAGTGATTTTGAAAGTGCATTAGATGTTATTGAATCCACACAATCAAATGCTTATGACCTGGATCTTTCAGTCTTACCCGTTATGAAAACAATCACTGATTATAGCAATCAATTCAATGAATTAGAGGGCAATCGGTTGAGTGAACTCTTGGATGCCCTCAAGATTATGATAAGTCATGAATGCATTCAAATAAAAGACCAAGAATTGGGAACTGCTTCTCACGACACACTTTATGGTGAACTTGCGATCAGGAGTCAAGAAATTCAAATCCGAAATATCATTAAAATGTCTAAACGATTGAACGCATTCAAATCTCTATGTGAGCAAGATAAAATGATTTTAATTAAATATGCGAGTTTTGAGATCATAACCTTACGAACGGTTTTGAATTTTAATTTCCAAGACATGTATTGGACCGCAAATATAGTAAGAGTTTTATGATTAATGAGTTAAAGATTTTATAATTTTTTTTATTAATTAACAGAATACCGGTAAACAAGATATAACGTGCAAGGTTCATTTATTTGGAGGCAGAAAGTGTGCCCTAGCAGATTTAAATCCTAATAATATCAATCATCAAACATTTTTGGAAAGTATGGGAACTGAATGGGACTCAGAAGTGCTTATAATAGACCTGGTATAATTTGTTATTTTTATAACTATCGTATGCAATAGAATATATTTTATAATTTCTTAATAGCTAACTGCTATCATATTGTTTAATCCCAATCGACCCAACCTTGTCAACAAAAATACCATAAAGTAAGTTATCATTGTAAAAATTAATATTCGAAACATTTTGATTATAAATATAATTAATAATTAATTTTTGATATTTCTAGACTGCAGCAATATGTTTACTTTCATTTACTTAAACGGTATCTACAAATGAAATATCGCTCAGAATTACTATCAAATGGCAAACTCTTAAGACTTATAAAGAATCTAAAGTTTTTGAATATAATTAATCAAAAGATGGAAACTTTTTCATTGAATATTGATTTAAGTTCTCTTCCCCTTTTGAAAGAGATTTGTACTCGGTAGTAATCTAATTGTAATTGTTTGTATTTTATTTATTTATATAATATTCATTAATTTATTACCGATACAATAATGATATATATTTAATATTTTATCATTTTGTTACTATGATGTACAAGTTTTAAACTACAAGTTTTCTACTCATAATTATAGCCAAATT